ACCACTAACTAATACTTTTCCGTTGTTTAATACAGATGCTCTGTGAGTATATCGTGCATTAATCATGTTACCAGTAGTTACCCAAGTTCCTGTTGATGGATCATACAGCTCAGCACTATTTAAATAGAAAGCAACACTACTATATCCACCACTAACTAATACTTTTCCATTGTTTAATACACATGCTGTGGGATAATATCGTATATCAGCCATACTACCAGTAGTTGTCCAAGTTCCTGTTGATGGATCATAAAGCTCAGCACTATTTAGAAAACCACCATTACGACCACCACTAACTAATACTTTTCCGTTGTTTAATACAGATGCTGTGTGCGCATGTCGTGAATTAGTCATAATACCAGTATTAAACCATCCTAGAAGAAGCATTTGAATATATTCAGACTATAAAGCGTTATATCATCAAATTCTGCACAGGATCTAATCATGTGCAGTACGTCAAATATTGTAAAAGTAAATGTGTTTGTTACCTTTAAGCATAGAATCTTCTAAAGCACTATATTCTGAGAACGGAATTCGAATTTTTTGCTCAAAATTGTTTATGATGTTATAAGGACAGGACGATATGGTGTCATTGAGCGAAAGAGTATTTAAGCGAAGAACACAATTAGCGAAATGTTTTTGACAAAAAAAATGTTATAACGAAGGCACTTTTGTGCGAATTGCGAAATACAAAAAAAGAGAAATCTTTATTTTTAAATGTAATAGATATTGACATCAAATGATAGAAGATGCAGGTGATGGGTGGCTGTTGGTATGAGAGTATCATATTATTCACCCATACTTCCACATCCTCATCCTCAAGATCAGAAAGAGCAAAAAAACAAGGGCTGCTCTTAGTATACATATACAACAAGATAAATCACCATTATACATGTAAAATCGAACGTTTTCAAGAAAAACTTTGCGTCGAAAGTGCCCTCGCTATGTTTGTTTTCGCTACTGTGTGTTTTGCGAATTATGTTTTTGCTATTAAGCATCTTCACTGAATTGTATTCTCGCTATTATGTTATTCAATGGAAGACCCGTTCGCGCAAATATTTTTTGCTCAATGCACACGATACCTTGGTACTGTATCAGTCATGTGGATTTGTAAATATTTCGATTATCTACAAGCTTTATGAGCTATAATCGAGAGCCATTGATTGTATTGGGAAAAAAAGAATTCCACTCAACTCCCTTATAGCTCTTTGTGTCTCAATATAAAAAAACACGACAACATCTATAGAACGAGGAGGGTCATTAACAGGTGAAATCGGCTTCCAGCTAGAATTCGTCTTTGTTCTTTCCCTTTTGTCGTTTTAATGTGTATGTTAGATCAGAGATGAACACAGGGTAAAGATTTTTACCCTGCAAATATAAGCGTTTATTATGTATGAAAAAAACACCATTTTTTTCAGTCTTTTAAAACAAATTAATAAACTGCATGATAGAGAACGCTATTAATTAACGAAAAGGGCTATTCCATACAAATGCTTTCGAATAAAAAGTATAGCAAAAAAGAGAATAAGTCAAGAGAAGTAGAGATAGTAAAATAGTTTTTGTTAATTTTCGGACTTTATCCATTTATAATATTCTTTTGTGAAGAGAATAAATCTTGCATCGGGGCCTATTATTTTTAGAAATAGAGGCTTGCACTTCGTTATTGAATCCTTCTGAAGGTGCATGAAAAATAAAGAATAAAATTCTCTTTCAGGTAATTGTATTTCAGGAGAATTACTAACGGGATTCAAAAGACCTTGATTTTTTTCGAGTTCCTTTTAATTTTCCTCAGTATTTCTTCCAAAAGTTACTTTGAATGAGAGTCGGAAACACAACGATCTGAAAGAGAATTTTATTCTTCATTTATAATAGATATGGAAAGGAATCCATAAGCTAAGCTAAGATTTCTACTTTTAAAATATTTAATCTTTGAAAATTTCAATAGAAAACACTAAACTAGAGAATAGCAACAAACTAATATATCATAAGTTCTATAACATATGGTATCTATAAAGATATTCATTTAATTTTTGCTGTTGATCTTTGTAGCATGTCGAACTCTTTCTTCCACTTGTGAACAAAATTATTCGAATTCTACCTCAATAGATGTATTAGGTAATTCCAGTTCTGCTTCAATACGTGTATAAAATGACTTATATTCTTCCGCTTCTGATTATTAAATTATCAAACAACTAAAGCAATTTTTATCACAGATTATCTAGAAAAACCAAAGAGTATATGGGCAAAATCACGCGAAACAGGACATTACTCTCTCTCATTTGTCTTTAGTTTTTGACGACAGTGCCTCTTATAACTAAATTCTTTTATCATAGAGGTATGTGAAAATGTTTACTCTTTCAGATACAATTTAATCATTGATTAATTAGTTAATTAATTAATTAATTAATTAAGAAGTAACTAGCGAATATCTCTCGAACTATACGACGAAAAACTCTAAAACTTTCAGGATAAACTCTAGGACCCAATCTATACATATGACAAAATTTTCAGGGAAATCGGAGATAAAAAATTTTCCTTCGAAAAATCGCCTCCCGCCAGCTCCCGTTAAGTCTCAAAAGAGAAATTTTCACTTCATCATAATCTCAGGGTCCTAAAGAGTGATTCATGTTTATATTAATTGATTGGAACTTGTTTTCCAGTCATATGAGCATTTTTTCGATCGACCATTCGTACTCGGTCACGTCGCTAACGCCGAATAAACTTAAATTTTCAAAAAATCTACGCAAGCTCGGGAAAATGTAGCATTTGGGTTTTATAGCCCAGCAAGTGGCCTGTACAATACAGAATTTCGTTTTCAAAAATAATGATTTGATTCGCACCTGTTTTAGTCTAAAGTACAAAAAGTGACAATCGATGTCTTTTCTAACGTCACGTCGCTAACGCTACTTTTTCAGCTATAACTCCTGTAAATAAAGGTCTTTCTGGCTGATTTTTTCAGGGTACCTAGAATACGTTTATTTACATAAGCCATATCAAAAGTGGCTCTGGGAAACTTCATTAGTCCGAGATATATGCGTTGTAATTTTACAAGTCACGTCGCTAACAGAATGATTTTGCCCATATCGAATTTGCAGGGTACCCTGCCGCGTCCTGCTCGATTTTCGCTAGCAGGACAGGGCTGGACAGGGTGCGTTTTTTTTTCTTTTTAAATTTTCCTGCTAGGGCAGGGTACGATAGAACAGGGTGCAGGGCAGGGCAGGGTAGGATTTTCTTACCCTGTGCTCATCTCTGTGTTAGATAACTTTTATATATATCTTAGATAAATTCTCTATCGATATCCTATATAGCCTTATTTAGATTTTGTATAGATTTTACATAGAGGAGAGAATTAAATCTTCCTTATAATTTACAGAAATCTTGAATTATTTTGTAATTCATTTCCAACATGAAATCATTGTTGTAAATAACTAAATTAGCATATCAGTTGCTCATAAAATAATGAAGTACTTTAACGAAAAATACGACGAAATCTCACTTACTACTTGATGTAGGTGTAGTTGTGCTTGTGATATTCGCTGTACGTGCTATAAAGAGATATAAATAATTAAATTGAGGTCACCGAATGACTGACATTCTAGATTGCTTTGAACTTTGAGAAGTGAAACTACTTACTCGTAGTTGAAGTTCGTGTCGTAGTTGAGGTTCGTGTTGTAGTTGAAGTTCGTGTTGTTGTAGTAGTTCGTGTCGTTGTAGTAGTTCGTGTCGTTGTAGCTATTCCAAGAAAAGATAAAAAATCATTTTCACTAAGGTTCAATAAGCATAAAACGTGTCACTGGAAGTTCTTTTACGTGTTGGAATTGCAGGACAAATTAGCTTGTTTGCCAAAGGTAGTGGAT